CCAAGTTGTTGTCCTTCAATCTTAGTTGTGGAGGGCACAGCTAGCCCAGCTCCAAGTCTAGTCGCATCCGGCTGCCCATCGGCAGCTTGTGGCCACTCAGCTCAAGGTGTCGTATTCAATCTTAGTTTCAGGTGGGCATAGCCCACCATCCCATGTGGGAGTCGAACCGGTAATCTTGTTAGGAGCACGTGCTCTCACCAGCTGAGCCATCCTGCCACCTATTGGCAGCTCAGCACCAGCTCAGCTTAGGCGCAGCTCACTGGCCCATGTAGGAATCGAACTGGCGACCGTGTTGCTCAGAGCTTGCACTCTTAACCAACTGAGCCACTCGGCTGGCCCCCATTGAGGCAAGTTTCAATCTCTTACTCTAAAACAATCCAATCCTGAAAAACAGTCCTTAAACAGTAAATCCTCTGAAACAGCAACCTTTTGAAAGTGCAATCTCTTGAAACAACAATCCAATAGCAATCCAACAGCAAAAAATAATAATTCCTTATGTCACCTGAGGTCTGTCTTATATATCCTTTAAATACACCCCAGAGCCAAGTTTTTGTTCCTGCCTCCCCTCTCAAGGAATAGCCAGTTCCGGGAGGGTTCGGTAGTTAATGATAAAAATGTTGCCTATCTGGCTGATGAAACAATACCTACTGTTCTCGCCTGGGATCATTGGCCCAAGGCCTTCCAAAGCTTGGCAATGTGCCTGTGACATCATCCTGATATAAGTTAGCTACTTCTTCACTTCATCTGCTGATGCAGGCGAAACAGACAAAAAGCAACATCATCTCATATCTCCCCTGCCGGGAATGACAAAGGTGGGAATTCTCTCAACCCCTAACCAAGAATTCTGTTAACCCTAAGCTAACCATCACCCCACATGCAGTCTCTCATGTGAGGGAGCAAAGAGCCAACAGACAAAAATTAACATTAGCCAATGAAGGCAAATTTTCTTAACATCTTTCCCACACCCACAATCTGTACAACACTATACTGTAGGGCTTTTTACACATTTGTAGCCACTGTAAATTTCCTAAGGAGCATGATAACTATGGAGCATTGAAAACACTCCATATCACAAAGCAGCAGGATGACTTAATGACACAGGTCCACAATTCTTAAGCCTCTGGGGCCAGATGTGCTTTGAAATTTTCAGATTTTAAAAAGGTGATATATACATTTATACAATATATTTCATTAACATCCCAATGCAGTGTGGAACAATAGGCAGCATTTTGTTATTGAACACTTTAATACTTCTAGAGTGAAGGGTATAAATATTCACTTTAGGTAGGATAATTAAAGGTTATAAATCACAGCAGTTCTGGTCAGGTTTGGGCACCAAGTTTATGAGAGAAATGGTCTTCAGAGCTTTCTAGATTTTGTGACTGTAGATAAGGCAATGTGGTAGACCAATAATTGCTAACGTTTACTCACAATGATTTTCCTCACACGACAGAGGTAAGCCTTGACTTGTGAATATAATTCGGTCCACAGATGTTTTATTTGTCTTACACAGTGCTGGCAGATAGGAAGCTTTGAAAGAAAATTATTTTAAGTAGTTCCAAACTTGCAAACTGGGAAATATCACCTAAAAATTCGATTTCCAGCTTCTGAAAACTCCTGTGATTTGGCCATGCTGGGTCTGCATTCCTGGGGAGCTAATTACTTGGGAGTTCATTTAAAGCTACCCCCCCCCCCTTAGATGGGGCAAGTGCCCTGATACAGCCCTCACCCATATGGGTTCTCTCCTTTACTTTATCTGCCTGACATCTGTTGAGATCTCTGTCTAGTTTCCAAATCACGTTCTGTCCATATCTCATACACTCTCAGTCCTGGGAGGGAAGAAACAGGCACACTGATATGATACTTAAGGTCACCCTGCCTGTAAGAGTGCCTTGAGCCAAAACAACTATGGTGCTGAAAAACCTTGGGCCCTGGCGTCTTGCCTCTTCCTAGTATGGTATGATGGCCAAATCATTCACCCTTTCTCTGTGCCTCAGTTTTCCATATGTACAAAATGGGGCAACTACAACAGACCCACGGTCCCTTATCTATACTTCCAAAAACCCCAAAACTCTGGAAACCAGAACTTTATTCATAAACTGGAAGCAAAACTTAACCCTAAGTGCCACAGACTATGATATAGTCTTTCTTCCCTTCGCTGTGAATATTCTGCCCCAGCAGTAACATTCAATTTTCCAAGAATTGCCCCAGATCCCGCTGGGGGTGTTGCCCAATTATGAAATGTGCACCCTACTAACTTTCTGATTCCCGAGATGATCCTGGTGCCAAGAGTATCCGGTTAAGAGCTGGGAGCTACACTGATCTCTCACTGCTGCTGGGAAGGTTACAGGGGGAAACGCTAGGACAGCACGGCTCCTGGCACACTGAAAGCACTTAAATAAATGTTCAATCCTTTGACCTCCTAAAGAAGGGTCATTCTTCCTAAAGAAGGGTCATAATGGGAATTCATTCGTCCCTCAAGATCCTGCCCTCCTCTGCCAACGACTTCAGGCAATCCACCCCCTCCTTCTGCCTCGGTTTCCTCACCACAAAATAAAATAGAATTGCTCCTCTCAAGGCTGCCGATGAGGACTGGAAACCACTTTAGCTAGAGCCTGGCCTGTAACAGGCTGTGAACAAGGGTTCTAGAGTCCACCTAGACCCACCGCCCCTTACCGTAGTCGCCCCAGGAGCTTTCTGTTACCCCTCAGGAAGAACCGAGCCCCCAAGCCTCCAGAGTCCTCAGCGATCCCAGCCCCGGCGTCTCCTCACTTAGAGATTGCCGGCCGCCTAATTAACAGACGCGACCCCAGCTCCAGGGAAGCGGGAAACCCTATTTCTCTCACTCGCACCTCCTCGCAGCCACTTCCGGTGCCGCGTGAATCTCAGAATTTCTCCACGCAGAAGCCTCCGCGCCAACCAAGACTCCGTTTCCCAGAGGGCTGTGCGCACGCCTTCGCTTGTGTTCTTGTATCCACTCGATTCCTCATCCTTAAAGGTCCCGCTGAGCACTCTGGAAACTAGAGTAGAAACAGAATCGGCACCAGATGGCAACTGGGTATTTTAGTCCAGCTTTTACCATGTTGAAGAACAACCTAATCATCCTTTCCTGCCTTTTCTGGAAGATGGGGAAGCTTTTCCATTTCTCAGAGAAACAACCAGAGAGCTGTAGAAACGCTTGGAGGAGGAAATTGGATTCCTGAGAAAGTAACGGACAGAGTTGAGCCTGGAGAAACAACATGACCTCTGCCTAATAGTTCATTTATCCTTACGATTGGCTCCATATTGGCACATGCGCAGCGGAACCAGATAGCGTTCCAAAGAGGGTGAAATGGGGGTGGGCCATGAGGAAATGATCCCTCCCCCAGCCTTGAGTAGGAGGTTTGACCTGCCGCGAAGGCGTCTGGGAAATGGAGTTCTCCGGTAGGCACAGCCCAGGGACAGTCAGGTCAGCAGCGCCTGCGCGGGCGCAGTCCTGCCTCAGGGTGGAAGATGCGCGCGCAGCGCCTTTCGCCTCAGCGGAAGTTTCTGCGTGGCAACTGAGGTGAGTCCCGTCACCGCCGTGGATTCAAGAGTTTGACGGCGGATACTTGGTTATCCACCCCAGTCACCAAGTCCAGAGGTGAAGGGAAAGCGAGGCTTAGCATGGGGAGGTCTCCTGGTACTCTAGCCTCAGTCTGGTCGTGGTGCCTGTGACGTCAGCACAACGCTTTGTGGGAGGCGGAGTCCCCGGGGCCGGGGGTTGGGATGAGAGGAGGGAGCTTCTGGTCGCGGAGATAATTGACCTGTCCTTGCGGTCCCACGACACTTTTGGATTTTGGTGGTGGGCGTGGCTAAGACTGAGACAGGCGGAGCTAACGGGGAATTTGACAGACGCCTTAGCACTACGTCATCCCTAGCTTCTGCTTTGGGCGCGGCGGAGGCGAGTCACGGTCGCCTGAACAACAGACCCTCCTGCCCTGAGATGGAGTCTAGCCTTTAGCTCTTTTATTGCGTTATGTCTTAGAACTTCCAGGAGGGACAAAATACTTAGCACGTAGCAGATGTTCAGTAAATATTTGTTGAGTAAATAAAATAAATGGATGAATCATGAAGACTAGTCTGAGTGTTGCAGCCTTGGGTTTTAGTCCTGAGCAAGCCATGTGACCTTGGACAGGTGACTTCAGCACTCTGTGACTCCCTTCTTCCACCCATATTTATTGAGCATCTACTATAGCACTATTTGTATCTAACCTATTAAATAGCTACTTGCTCATTTGTTTATTATCTAGGCTTGCCCCACCCCTGAATGTGAGCTTTATCAGATGAAGAGCTGTGTTTGTTTCCTTTGCTGCTGTATCCCCAGTGGTTGGCACATATTGGGACTTCAGTGAATAATCATTGAATAAATGAATGAAATTAGCACATACTGGCTACATAGCCAGTGCTCAATAAACATTAACCATGGTCTTTCACTTACATGAGAAGTGAGCCTGAGACAGCCTCTCCATGTTTATTCATTTACAGGACACTGTTAAGATGGAGTTTCCAGCCCAGTGAATCTTGAGTGCCAGACTGTGACCCCATAAAGGTACCATCCCTTCAGACACATGCCCCTTAAGCCCTGTTCCCCACCACCAGCCTGCTACTGCTCCATCTCTTCTGTGTTGCTGCTCATCAGTCCCAGGAGGACTGTTATTTTGGGCATGACAGGGTCACTCGCTTAGGTGCTTGTCCCACCCTGGAGACCATCTTTATCCAAGGGCACTTATCACCTGGGGAAATTCCACTTAAAGTGAAGCCACTTAAAACTGCCATGGATTTTCAGACTTTTGTTTACACGGTAATCTAGCAAATTCTCACTATCTTAGTCAGATAGACTGTGCTGCAGTAAAAACCTCTAAACCTCAGTGACTAAACCCAAATACAAATTTCTCATTAATACAAAGTCTACAACAACTCTCCAGGGTAGCCATCCTTGAGGCAATTTTGATCTTGTGTCTCCATCAACACAGGGCTTCAGGTTTGCCATGTCCCAAGGGAGAAGGAAGATGTGGTGGTGACTCCTCTAGCTTAACAAAACTGCTTACCAGTATTTATACCTTTGAAAAAACAGAGCTGTCCATTTCATTGTTATTACCAGGACAACAAATAGTTAAGTTACACACCCAGTCTGAATCACAGACTCCCTAGAGGCTAAGGGATACCTGGCAGCAGCCTTTGCAGTCAGGTGTCTTACACAGCGCTTTTGTGGGAAATAACAGGACAGTTTTACTCCACAGTGTGATTTCTGCTCTTCTGCAGGCCAAGGGAAGAGGAATCCTTTTTTCTGGTAGAGATTTCTTTCACTAACTGTTTGGACAGCCTGTGTTTTTCAAGGGCGGGCACTAGGATTCCATAAGGTGGCCCCAGGAGGAAATGGAGAGGCCTGAGAGGCTCAGAACTTACAATATGGAAAAAGAAAAAGGAAAAATAGAAATATTAGCAAATAGAATATAATAAGTCGGATACAAGGCATGATATGGTAATAACCACTAGCATAAAAGGCTTTCTGTGGGCCAGGCCCTGTTCTCAGCACTTGCTATAAATGTATTCATTTAGGACTCAACAACCACTCTGTCAGATAGGTACTGTTAGAAGCCCCATTTTACTGTCGGGCAGACTGAGGCACAGAGAGGTTACGTAAGGTGCCCAGCACATAGCAGATCTGGAATTTAAATCCAGACATTCTGGGAACAGAGCCTGTGGTTTTAAGGACTCTACTGGTTTCCAATTGCTAGAGACAAACCTTTACACTGACTAAAGGAAAAGGGTTTGATTAGACTAAGCCAGACACATAAAGACAAATATTGTATGATCTCACTTATATGTGGAATCTAAAAAAATCAAACTCATGATAATAGAGAGTAAATCGTGGTTACCAGAGGCTGTGGAAGAAAGGGGGAGATACTGATGAAAGGGTACACACTTTCAGTTAGGAGATGAGTAAGTTTTGGACCTAATGTATAGCATGGCAACTATAGTAAATAATATATTACATATTTGAAAGTTGCTAAGAGAGTAGACCTCAAATGTTCTCACCTCACAAAAAAATGATACCTATGGGAGGTGATGGATATATTAATTAGTTTGATTGTGGTGATCATTTCACAATGCATACATATATCAAAACATCACATACACCTTAAATATATACAATTTTTATTTGTCCAAGTAAATAAAAGTGAAAAGAGAAGAACTTTTTCTTGCAAGGTGAAATGAAGCCACGAGCACAATTTTATTTTGACTTCTGTTTGATAGTCCAGCTTATAATTGATACTGTAAACTTAAGTCTTAGAATAAAGAACAAATAAGGTAAATTTTTTTGATATTCAAAATATATTAATTTGAAGTGCCTATTGCACTGTCATTCTTATTGATTTTCTCTTTTTATTAACTAGTTTAATTCTGCTCTTAGGGGCTGAACCATGTCCCCAAAAAATTCCTATGTAGAAACCCTAACCCCAAGGACCTCAGAATGTGACCATATTTGGAGATAGGGCCTCTAAAGAAATAATTAAGTTAAAATGGGGTTGTTAGGGTGGGCCTGCTATGGTCTGAATGTTTGGGCTTCTCCAAAATTCATATGTTGAAATCCTAATGCCCAATGTGATGGTATTTGGAGGTGGGGCCTCTGGGAGGTGATTAGGTCCTGAGGGTGGAACCTCATGAATGAGATTAATGTTCTTATAAAAGAGACCCCAGAGAGCTCCTAGCCCAGCGGTTCTCAACCTGTGGGTCGTGACCCCTGTGGGGGTCGAACGACCCTTTCACAGGGGTTGCCTAAGACCATCGGAAAACAAAAAGATATTTACATTATGATTCATAACAGTAGCAAAATTACAGTTCTAGAGTAGCAACGAAAATAATTTTACGGTTGGGGGTCACCACAACATGAGGAACTGTATTAAGGGGTCGCGGCATTAGGAAGGTTGAGAACCGCTGTGACCTAGCCTCTTCCACTACGTGAGGACATAGTGAGAAGTTGTCAGTCTGCAACCCAAAACCCAACCATGGTGGCATGTTAATCCTGGACTTCCCAGTCTCCAGAACTGTGAGAAATAAGTTTCTGTTGTTTATAAGCCACCAAGTCTGATATTTTATTATAGCAGCCCAAACAGACTAAGACAGGGCCCTAATCCAATATGACTGTGTCCTGATGAGAAGAGATTAGGACACAGACAGAGGGACGACCATGTGAGGACACAGTGAGAAGGCAGCCATCTACAAGCCAAGGAGAGAGACCTTGAAAGAAACCATACTTGCTGATGCCTTGATCTCAGAATTCTAGCCTCCAAAATTGTGAGAAAATAAATTCATATTGTTTAAGCCACCCAGTCTGTGGTATTTAGTTATGGCAGCCCGAGCAAACGAATACACCTGCCGTATTTTAATTTGTCATGGGCTCTGTGTGTGATTTTGTTTTGTTATTAAAAGTATTAGGAAATATTCCAGAGATGCACAAGGCTTAGAGCAGCGGTTCTCAACCTGTGGGTCGTGACCTCTTTGGGGGTCGAACGACCCTTTCACAGGGGTCGCCAGGTACTCGTATGTGGGCGTATCTGCATGTGGACCTGGAGACGGATAGAGGAGCGGTGTCTCGGTTCCTAAAACCATCGAAAATATGTGTTTTCCGATGGTCTTAGGTGACCCCTGTGAAAGGTTGAGAACCACTGGCTTAGAGAATAATGCAGTGAACACCTGGTGCCTCACTTAATCATGAATAGGAAAGGTGTTACAGTAACAAATAAACCCTGGAATCTTGGTGGCTCAGTACAACATAAGTTTATGTGCCAATCATGAAATTCCAATGTGGACCAGGCAGCCCTTCTTCATCTTGTAGCTGTGCCATCTGGAGTATGGCCTCCAGGGCCATCCCTGCAGGGGAAGGCAGGATGGAGGAAGTACTCTGGCTCTTAACTGCCTCAGCTAGGAGGTGACTTCCACTGACACTCTGTTGACCAGAACAAATCACATTGCCCCAATCTAACGCCAAGGGACCCTGGGAAGTATAGGGGAGCAGGTGGATGTTTGGTGAGCATCATCAACTGTCTCTCCCACCCTCATCGTGTGGTTCAAGAAATGAACATCACAAATACTGTTGACCCTCAGTGCTTCTGTGATTGGAGCAGTGCTTCTGCATAATTTTCACTGACCTCAAGGCATTCTTGTATCTTTTGTGAGGTCTGCAGTTTCTGCCTTGTACCTTTGTTCCACATTGTACCTACCCTGGGCTGTTAGGGAGAGACAGGTGGCTAGAGGCTGGATGCATTGGGCAGGAACTCATTTTAGAAGTGGCCACTTCCTGACAGAGTGTATTCTAGGGGTGATCACTTTTCTCCTTTTGCAGTCTTGTCACTGTGGGGAACTCTGATGACTACTCATCAGCAGTGAATTAAGTTTTTCTTTCAGCTTCCTGTTCCCTTTCCTGCCACTTCTATTTTCTAGCATGGTCACCTTCTGTCCAGACTGTGGGGAAAGTATTGAAACATCATTCAAATTCTGCCCCTACTGCGGAAAGCATTTGCCTACAGGGGAACATGAGAGGCCCCAGACCTTTCTCGGATCGCTTTTGTCATCTTTCCGAGGTAAGGACCAGAGCTTTGGGCTTTTCCCTGGAGGAGGGGTGAGGTGCGTGTGTGTAGGTATTTGGGAAGGGAGCACAGAAGCCTTTGCAGCCTTTCTGACCCTGCGTTGATACAGACTCTCTCTGTATTCAGTTTCTTGGCATCTTACTGGTCTCATGGATTTAAAGTTGACAACTCACACATTTCTGTCTCCAGCCTGGACTCCTCCTTTGAAATCCAGATTTATATATAGCATACTGCCTGCTTGACACCTCCTGGATGTCTCACGCATCTCCACATGCCCAGAACAGCTCCTGATGTGACTGCCCCACCCCCATCTGTCCCTCCCATAGATTTCCCCATCATGCTAAACAGCAATTCTGTTTACCCAGTTTCTCAGACCAGACCATGGAGTCATCCTAAGTTCTCTTTCTCTCCACCCCACAACTTCAACCCTCCAGCATATCTTGTCAGCTCTCCATTTAAAGTCAGTGCCAGGTCAGACCACTTCTCTGCCACCACCTTGGTCCAGCCCACCTTCAACTGTCACTGATAGTGTTACAGAATCCTCCTTCCCCTGGTCTCCTCGCTGCTTCTCTCTCTCCTACAATTTTCTTCCCATGGTAATCTGACGGATTTTGTTAAAACAAAGTCAGACCCCGTCATTCCTCTGCCCACCACCTTCCCAGGTTAGACCTGACATGATCAGGTCTCTGGTGTCTCCCAGAGCTCATCTCCTAACCCTCTTGTTCTTATGCAGCTCCAGCCACCCCGGCCTCCCCCCTTCCTCAGGCACGCCCCGGCCTCTGAGCCAGTGCACTTGCTGTCCGTCTGGGTGATTCTTCCCTCACCTGCATGAGCCACTCTTATCTTTTCTTTCAGGTCTTTATTTAGTTGTTGCCTTCTCAGAAAGAAAGGCCTTCCCTCACATCTCTAATTAAAATCACATCATCCCGACATATGAAACTCCCTATCCTCTGCCCCTGCTTTTTTTTGTTGTTGTTGTTTTTGTTTTTGTTTTTAGCTGAGCCATCCTGCCACCTGTTGGCAGCTCAGCGGCAGCTCAGCAGCAGCTCAGCTCGGGCCGAGAATTGAACCGCTGTTGCTCAGAGCTCGCACTCTGGAGCGAGCTCTTAACCAACTGAGCCACTCGGCCCGCCCCCTGGCCCTGCTTTATATTGCCTTTTGGTACTTGTATCAACCCTATTAAAAACAGTATTTTATTTATATTGCTTCTCATCTTTAAGTTCCATAAGGACAGAATTTTATTGTGGTTTGTAACCTGCTATTTGCACAGCACCCAGGACCGTTGCTCAGCACGCAGCTGGGTGCTGAGAAATCTTATTGATTGGCTGACTAATGAATGAAACGTCAGCTGTGGGTCCTTGCCAGTGGAAAACCCAAGCACAGATCCTACACTGACAAATCAAAATGGATTTCTCTGAATGCCACAGAAGGAAGTTGACATAACTAGCAGAAAGTTCAGCAACATTCTTTCATCATTTGGGATTGTGTTTGGCTGCAAGTAACAGAAAATGCTACTTCAAGATTTTAAACAAATGAATGGGTTTATATTTCTTACTAACAGAAAGTCTGGCGGGGACAGTCCAGTATAGGGATGGTGTCCCCATGATGCCATGAGGTCTCCTGTCTTTCTGCTCAGCCATCCTCAGAGTATGCTTTTTGTTCCTATGCTTATTGCTGTGAGCTTTCAAGATGGTCCCTACATCTCCAAGGTTGTGTCTCCATTCCAGGCAAATGCCAAGTTATTTGTGTTGGCCTGAGTTCAGAGCCTGAGTTCTTAAACCCCAGCCTTCCCTAATGCCAACCTAGGGCCAGTTCATTAGTCATTGACTCAGTCATCAGCCAGTCATCAGTCATCAGCTAATATACATGGACCACCTACTGTGTGTTTAGGTGCTGTGTTTGTCACCAGGGAAGTAGTAACAGATGAGATGGACCTTGTTTCTAGTCTCTCAGAGTTTTTGGAGGCCAGTAGGACAAACAGATATTGAACAAGCAATTATCAGTAGGGTGCATGATAACAGAAGGGGAGTGGGTGGACCACAGAACACACATAAGGGAGGTATGTTTCTGGGGGGATAAGGGAAGGCTTCCCTAGGTGGGTAATGTTTGAGCCGAGACCTAGGGATGATAAGAGTTAGCTAAGTGAAAAGTGGGATAAAGATGGGCTTTGAACAAGAGTTCTAGGCATTGGAGCATCGTATGGGAGAAGGCCGTGAGGTGGGAGGAGCCATGCATGTTGGAGAAATAAAGAAGGACAGTTTGGGGACAGATATGCGGGACCTTGTAGACCATGGGTAAGGAGTTTAGTAATCACTGATGTAGTGGGGAGCTGTGGAATGTTTCTACCAAGTGGGGGACACAGCATGGTTTGTATTTGGAAAACACCTATCTGGCTGCTATGTTTGGAAAGTAGACTAAGGGCATGGAATGCAGTTAGGCCATTCTAGTAGCCCAGGGCCCAAATGTGCTGGCTGAGGTAGTGTCAATTGAAAGACAACTTCTGTTTTTAGCAATATGGCAAACTAGATAATAGGTAAAAGCCCCTTATGGTTCAGCACATCACAAAATTCTGGATAAAATACTAAGAATATCTTTCTTTTTTTTTTAGACCCCGCCCACCCTCGCGATGACCTCACACGCACCCCCTTGTTACGCGTCGACGTAAAAAGTAAGAATATCTTTTTTTTAAAACATATGGATGAATGGTAGAATAGTAAGGGAATTCCATAGAAGTGAGAAACAATAAGAAAACACAGACCCACAGGCTGAGCAAGTGCTGTAGGTGGTGTTGGTCCTGGGCTATTTGTGGTCATTGGTGGCCTTTAGCCTGGGTTTTAATGGGATATAGGAGACAAAGCTTAGGGCCTGCTCAGCATAGGAGGTAATATTGGAAACCTCCTCTCTAAAATCTGGCACTCTTTACTGGGTAAACTAGAACAAAAAAATTACTCCACAGATAAAATTGCTAGAGTCATTTGTCTCAGCCTTGGTTGTAGATATAAAAAGGAAGAATGTCCTCTCTGTGAATTTCCAACCAAGAATTCACACCCTCACCAGGTTGGGGCCAGAATTCATACTGAACTGTGGCCCCCCAAAAAACAAGTGGAAAAGTTAGTCTAAATTGGTGAAGTGTGGGTGCACCTCCCCAACCGAGGCAAATTTTTTTTGGAAACACCCTTTTAAGACAGACCTTAAAGAATTCCCGTGGGCACATGAGCTCCCAGTCAATCAACAAAGATACCAGGAAATAAGCTATTGTTGGGAGAAACAGCAAACTACAGAATTGGACTTTCACTGACCAGAGACCAGTGCAATTAACAGATGAGACTGTGTACTAAATACCTTTAATATGATTAAAGAAAGAAAGGAAGAAATGAAACATATAATGAAGGAACAAAAGTTAGTTAGAGTTGACCTGGCAGATTTGAAAAGGAACCAGGTAACACCTGTGATGATAAAAACAAACATCGTAGGGGCTGGCCAAGTGGCTCAGTTGGTTAAGAGTTCACTTGGGAGCGCAAGCTCTGAGCAGCAGGGCCGCCAGCTCGGTTCCCACATGGCCCAGTGACACTGTGCCCTCTACAGCCAAGATGGTGAACAACAGCTCAACCTGGAGCTGGACTGCTGTGAGTGGCCGGCGACAGCGTAGGCTGCAGTGGGTTACCGTGAGTGGCTGGCAGCGGCAAGAGCTGCCGTGAGCCACCGTGAGCGGCCGTCCAATGGCCAGCGACCAACTGCTTCAGCCGGGAAGAGCGCAATGATAATACCAACATGGGCCAGTGAAGTTACGTCCTCCACAACTGACTGAAGAACCAAAGGACAGCAACTTGTCTGTTTCCCTTCACCGATTCCCCAATGCTGTTCCCCTCCCCCAATTCCCCTAAAATCTTAAAAAAAAAAAAAAAGAATCATGGCAATCAGAAACTCATTGGATGGTTTAAACTGTGGACTAGACACAGCTGAAGAGCAAAAAGTGAACTGGAAGAGAGATCTGAAGAAATTACCTAGAAGAGAGCACACAGTGACAAAGGGATAGAAGATATGAAAGAAAGGCTAAGATCTCTGGGAAAAAGAATAACTAAAACAAAGAAATAGTTTTCTTAGATATTTAGGTGATAGAAGAAGCAAGACTTGGCTGTGAGGGTCGAAGGGAAGAGAGTGATTGAGTATGACCTCAGGTTTCTGGTTTAATGGTTCCTGGAAAGGGCCTTTGTAACTCCAGTCTGCAATCTGTCTTCCTTTCTCTAGACTCAAAGAGAGAGAGCACCAGTTCTGAAACCACTCCCAAGAAAGTGAAATGGTCCAGCTGTGTCACCTCTTCCCCGTCATCCTTCTCCTCAAGTGGTTCTGGGTCTGAAGGTACCCCCGGTTCCTGTGAGAAACCCAAAGGTAAGAGGATCAATCTGGCCTGACCGTAGGTGGTGAAAAGACAGGTCATCTGACAATGCTTGGGGCATCATTCCCCTGTTCAGGCATCACTTAACACCAACCTAGACCCTAATCCCAGCATCCTCCCCCAATCCCAGTCTCCAGGCACCCCTTCTAATCCATCTCTTCACAGCCAGAGCTGACCCCACTACGCCCTGCTCACAGCCCTGTACTGTTCCCATCACCTCACAGTCTGACCTCTTCAGCCCAGTGTCTGAGACTGTATGGTTTGGTTCCTGGGCTCTCACCACAACCTTATGCACAGAAATCTTACTTTTTTTTTTCTTTCTTTCTTTTTTTAGCTGAGGCATCCTGCCACCTGTTGGCAGCTCAGCGGCAGCTCAGCTTGGGCCGAGACTCGAACTGCTGTTGTTCAGAGCTCACACTCTGAGCCACTCAGCCGGCCCCAGAAATCTTACTTTTTGAAACACTTTTGAGGGTCTTCAGCTTCTGGTCTTTGCTAAGTCTGTTCCCTTGGCCCAGGGCATGCTCACCTACATCTTTGCCTGGCATGCTGCTACTTTGCTGACACTCATGGGGTCAGTTATCTAGGAAGCTTTTCCTGAACACCTTGGGCTAGACCTCCCTCCAGGGTCTCTCTTCGTCCTCTTTGTCTGAGCTCCCGCAGTGCCAGTGCCACCCTCATTTGAGCACATGTCTCCTCCAAGCTCCTTGTCCCTTTCTGCCTCATTGCTGGACTGAGTCCTTCATCGGCAGGTACCAGGTAGACTCATCTGTGGGTGCCCCGTGCCCTCCAGGGAGCATAGGAGGCTTGAGGACTATGTGTGCCCATCTCCTTCCCACTGAGCTCTTGGATCTGAAGTCGCAGTCCTTGCTGTCTCTTCTTTGTCCCTTGTTATCCTCCAGGCCCCCCTGCCTCTTGCCATGCTGTGCCTTGGGTGGATGGGGGTGGGAGGAGTAGAGTATATATCTTTTCCTGTGTCTATGTCTGTCTCCTTAATATGCCACCCCATTCTTTTGCTAGTCTGGGAGCCCCTCAAGAGCAGGGCCTCAGTCTAACAAATTTCTGGGTCCTTTTCATATCCAGCACAAGGCGAGGTCCTATTTTAGGATGTTTTTGGTTGAATGTCTAGAGTGTCTTTTTTTTCCCCTGGCAGACTTCTGCTCATCCAACAAGACCAACTTCAAATGCCTCTCCTCCAGGAAGCCTCCCCTGACTTCCCTAGGCACAGTCCGTTTCTTTCTCATATCCCTCTGTACTGCTCTGTCTCAGACTCAGTTCTGACCGGCTGTGTCCAAGTCAGACTCCCCCCACCAAATTAGAGGCTTCCAAGGGAAGGGCCCGCATCTGACTAATGTCTGGGTCCCCAGCTTTATCACACAAAGACCTGACCCATGAAAGGTCCCAGGAAGCATTTGTTGAGCCTTTTATTCTGATTATCCTCATACAGGGTCCCGGAGCAGACCCCCAACCCCCAAAAGCAGTCCACAGGCGACCAGGATAAGCCCCAAGACACTGAAGCGGAGCCGGGCGACCACCTCACTCCAGGCTTTGCCCTCAGGGACGGTGCTGATAGATAAGAGTGGGCAGCAGTGGAAGCTGGGATCCCTCCAGACCAGGAACGACCAGGGCATTCTCTATGAAGGTACACTTTATGCACAGGTGGACGGGTGCTGGGCTGGGCAGCACTCTTCATCAGCTCCACCTGCTGTTGTCATGTGGGAGGCACAGGCCCAGTATGTCTGAATGATAAGGATGATGATTCTTTCTAACCTGCAGAGACAGGATAGACAACCTGCCCCCCAATTTGGTTTGAATATTGAGCGATATCACACACATCAAGAGGAAATAAAAGGTTTATTGCTTGCGTAGTTGTCTCTGAGGAGAGCAGGTCTGAAATATCCTGAGGGAGCAAGGAAAAGCGGCTGGGTTTTTATTGTGGTTAAGGGGTGGGGCCGAGGGTCTCACTTGGTTTGACTCTCCCACTGGCACCAAAGGAAGGAGCCCTAGGCTTTCTTATCAACTCCCACAGATGTGGGGCAAGAGGGAAGAGGCAAGGCCAGCCAGGCTTAAAAGCGTTTGGTAGTCAAACATAAAAATGGAGCAAGACGCCTTATTACAATGAGGAGTACTGCTGGAAGTATTAGTATTAATCAACATAACATTTACTGAATGCTTAGTCAAGGCCAGGCCCTATTCTAAGTGCTTTATGTAGTTTTGTGGGGTATTTTGTAATCTTTTAATTGAGATAAAAGTCACCATTTTAAAGTCTATAATTCAGTGGGTTTTGGTATATCCACAATGTTATGCACCACCACCACTAATTCTAGAACATTTCCATCACCCTTAAAGGAAACCCCGTACCTTTTAACAGTCACTCATTCCTCTCTTCCCTTCCCCAGGCAACCACTAATCTACTTCTGTCTCTGTGGGTTTGCCTGTTCTGGACGTTTCAAATAAATGGAGTGGCCTTTGTGTCTGGCTTCTTTCCCTTAGCATGGTGCTTTCAAAGTCCATCCATGTTATAGCACATGCCAGTACTTCGTTCTATTTGATGACTGAGAAATATTCCAGGGTGTGTATATATCACATTTGGTTCATCCATTTAATGAGTTGGTGGACATTTGGGATGTTTCCACTTTAAAGGACTATGATGAAAAATG